GCATAGGGATAGGGATATGTTCCAGGCTGGTAACAGTTCGGCTGGTCTCTGCCCTACGACCAGGTGCGGGGAAAAGGCCCCTTGCAGGAGTTACAAGATGCCGTCCGCGGCCACCGCGACCGCCCCGGCCTGCGTGCTGAGCAGACTACGTCGCAGATCGTTCGGCATAACTGAGCCCCTGGCCCTAATGAAACATAAACGACGAATTCCCCAACTCAGGTCCACGGTTCTCAGGGACATCCCTAAACATACGGGTGGTTTCGGTGCAGATTTTTGTAAGAAAAACAATGTATCTCTAATGCTCTTGGCCCTCCCAACTTACGTCCAAGCCATTTTCGCTCAAGCCATTTTGGCTCAAGCGTTGCGATCGATGGCGCGGGGATTATGAACGGTCGGCCGACTGACTTTCCAACGAATGTGAGTAGTGTGGCGGATCGTCTGCATCAGGATGGCTTCAAGGCGGCTGCTATCGGAAAGTGGGACGCAGGAATGACCACGTGGGATCGCACACCAATTTGCCGTGGTTTCGATTATTTCTATGTCTTTGATACTGTTGCTCAGACCTACTACCAGAGTAGATGGGGAACAACTGTTGACCTCCACGATAATTTCGATGCATGGTTTGAAATGACGTCTATTACACACACACACGTCTATACCAAGAAACGTTGGATTTCCAGGGTCGCTCGTACACTAGATGCAGATAAGACATTCATGTATTTGGCGTACCAAGCCATGCACGGTCCGCTGGCGGCCCTGGATGATTACAGGCTACTATGCCGATATTTGGGGCGACTTCGGAGAATCAGCGGGATATCTTTTGTGGCATGATATTGGCACTCGACCAGGGCATAGAATGCGTGATTGATACATACAAGTCTTTAGGGATTTGGGGTAACATCTTGCTTCTCCTGACGTCAGACAATGGCGGTAGCGTCAAGCCTGGCGATGGTGGCACTAATCGGCAATTGCGCGGAGGGAAAGGATCGGCTTACGAGGGGGGGTGCGAGTACCTGCCTTCTTTTATTGGTCAGGCATCTCAGAAGCACCCAAAGGTAGTGAGAGTGAACGGCTGATCCATGTATCGGATTGGTTGCCTACATTGGTCGGCGGCGTGGTGGCTGAAGGTGGGAAACAATGAGCATGCGTATCCCATCGACGGTGTGAACCAGTGGGAAGCTCTCACGGATCCTCATGCTACGCATACGAATAATACGTCTACTGACAACAACTATTACTACTGGTCCTACTAATATTATTCTGCCTGCGTTCCAGATGATATTCTGACGCCTTGCTGTCGGTCCTTCGACAGTGCATTTTTGCATGTGCAAGCCGTCTCTCTCTCCCTCGCCCCCTCTCTCTCTCTTCGTCCCCTTCCTGGTTCTTCCCCCATTTTCCACTCCGGCATCCCGTGCTTCCTCTTCAGCAGAGGGCCCGGTGGATTCGGATTGAAGCCTCCAACCTAGAGTTCGGCAGAACAATCGCGGGCAGGAAGGCTGGTATTCAGGCTAGAATTCCAGATCTGAAGCTGTTCGCTGGCGTTCTTGGCTGGAACTCCCTCCGTTACTCCTCTGGCAGCGTAGTTTGTATCTAGTCGTTCCCTTCTCCCATCTCCCCGTCCCTCTCTTCGCGTACCTCCTCCATCCCTTTCCCCTCTCCTGACTTAAATGAAGCCTGGTTTCACCATAATCTTGAGTACATCTTACTTCAGGAAAGCTCATGCTGCGGGTTCGAGCTCGACGTTGGAAGCCCAATGGAGGAGGTGGTGGAGGAGCGTGGTGGAGGTGGTGGAGGAGCGTTGTAGCCCAATGGCTTCTGCTCCCCCCTTCTGAGCCGCTGCAGCATCCCAGAACATATTCAGGATCGCACTCCCGTGAAGATTCTCTCGCTTCCACCCGCCCACCGCCGCTCGAGGGAGTTGTGGGGGGTGGTTCTGTCTGGCGAGGGCCGATCTTGAAGCAGTCCGAATTTGACCGAAACACTCTCCTCTGACCGTCCGCCCCTGCTTGCAGCACTCCGAACGCCGGCCGCTTGGCGCGTTGTCGAATGCGGCGACGCGGCCAGAAAGACGGCCTCAGGATGTGCATTCAGGACGGCAGGTTGGAGTTGCCCGTGTTCCCAAGATCAAATACTTGGGTCAAGCGGGGTTTCCTGTCGCTCGGCGGTGGGGACCATTCATCCGTGACCAAGCTCGATTTGCGCTGCACCGTACAAAAAAAAAACTTACGTCCAACAAAGGCGTAGGGGCAAATTGATTGCTTATCAGCAGACCACTGCAAGACAAAACGCACGAAGGCCGACCCCTGCACCGCTCGCCCAGCCGCCGGGAGCGACGCCCCGTGTTTTATCCGGACCGGAACGGACCTCGCCGTCCTTGGGTGTTGCGAACAGCGACCCGGTGGCCACGTTTGCAGACTCCTGTCCTTTCATACGCGGTCGGGCTCGCCCATTGCAGGTTGGTCGGCGCGCTGGTTCAGGGTACAAAAAACACATAAAAACACACACACACACAAAAACATATATATATATATATGTATACAAAAAGCACACACCGTGGGACAAAAAAACACAAATATCACACACACACACACTCAGAGAGTACTTGTTTTTTTACACACTGTGTTTTTTGGGATGTTGTTTGTGTTTTTTGTTGTGTGTGATGTCTTCCTTCTTCCTCTGCTCCCCCCTCGCCCGCGCCAGAGTCTTCCTTTCACTAGGGAGAGCGGCAGGGCAGCCTGCCGACTCTCCACAGTCGCACCTCTGCCGTTGGCGTCGCGTCCTTGGGGTCCTGACGTAAAATCAGGAGGGGAAAAGACACACAGACACAAGTAATCGTCGATTCCCCAGAAGATATGGGAAAATACGGGAAGAGGGGGGAGACGGAACTCCAGAGAATGTGGGGAAATATGGGGAATCCTTTTATTTGTGTGTATTTATTTGTGTGTGCTTGGGCCCCTTGACAGTGGGGTCCCGATGTATAAGAAAAAACTTGTGTAGGTGCCCGAGAGGTTCAGCGGAGTGGCTTCTGCTTCAGATCCGATGAGACTCCGCCGTCCCTGTGGGCTGCGAATTGCGAACGCGTCGACACGTTCGCCAGCTCTCAAGAGGTCCAGCGGAGTGGCATCTATTCACGTCAGATGAGACCTCGCTCGCCGTCCCCGGGGGCTCTAAACTGCGACATTGTCAGCATGTTCATGGGCTCCTGGGAGGTCCCACGTGTCGAAGTATGAGACCTCGCCGTCCGTGGGTGCTGCGAATTGCGACACCGTCGCCAATGTCGTGGGCTCTGGGAGGCCCATCGGAGTGACGTATGAGTCAGGTCAAAGTGAGACCTCGCCGTCCGAACTACGAAGCGGGTTCCACTTTTGTGGGATCTCCCAGATCAGGCATCGTCGTCCGTCGGGGGGTCAGATTGCGAAATCAGTGCCGATATCCGTCGGCCTCTGGGAGGACTAGCGGAGCGACGTCTTAATTATTCGGATCCGATGAGGCTTCGCCGTCCCCGAGTTGTGTGAACTGCAGAACTGTCGCAGTTGCGTGAGCTCCTGGGAGGTCGAGCGGGGTGACGCCTTATTCTCATCAGGGTGAGATCTCTCCATCCGAACTGCCAAACAGTGCCTGATTTCGTGTGTCCTTGTGAGGTTCAGCAGAGTGGCGTTCTACATATCAGGAAAAGACCTCGCCTTTTTTGGGCGCTGCGAGCTGCGAAGCTACCCCCTTCCCTGTCGAGCCGGAGGCAAAACATGCATCAATCTCGCACTCTTTATTTGTGTATGTATGTGCCTTGTGAGGCGTGCAACGCGCGAGCCTCCCATGTAGCTCGCACAACATGTCGCGGTTCTTGCCATGTTTTCACGTGTAACAGTTTGGACATGTTGTTTGTCCACTTGTTACAGATGATCAGGGTGTGTGTGTGTGTGTGTGTGTGTGTCGCGGGCCTGCACAATGCAATCACGGGCGTAAGGAATGTGGAGTCACTTACATCACCTGTTTTAATGATGTGGGCTTCCCCAGGCGTCCTGCCAAGGCCATATTCAGGCCGTCTGCGGAGTGCTTTGTCGCGTTTTGGTCCTTCACGGAAATATCTCAGGTCATCTTGGATCCTCGTGTGTGTGTGTGTGCAGTGAAGACGTCCAGGGGGGCGCCCTTTGTGGCTCAAAGTGTAGCTCTGTGAGGCTCTCGGAGCCATCTTGTAACGTCGTGGAGCCACCTCGGGCTTTCGATGGTGTCTCTTGGAGGTCTCTTCTGGCACGTCTCGAACGTCCGTTGTAAGCCTGCTGGGGGTGTTGAGCCATCTTGGTGCGTGTTCGGATTGTCCGTGGGTTATTGGGTCTTGGGGTAGAGGCGGTCTTGGGCCGTCTTGATGCCGTCTTGGTGCAGTCTTTCCATGTCTTGCCACCTTCCAACGCCTCTGGGCACGTTGAGCCAATAGAGTGAGCCAGGATGTGTACCTCGGCCACTCCCCAGGGTGCCCCCGCGCTTGGGGACTTCACGTTCAACTGGTCGTGGCGTGCCGTTGGCCCAGCGATTGTGTACGAGGTGCGCTTGTTTCTTCCCGTGGCGCCCAAATGCCAGGTGGGCCGATCGCGAAGCCGAACAGACACGCTGCATGGATGAGCCAGCGGCATCCGCTGACGGCCAGGCTGTGGAGCACGGCATCCACTTACGTTTCATCTGGTGTGGCCTTTGCACACCGGTCCCGCTGGTCGTCCTCAGATGTGCAGGTTCGCAGCCCCTTTCCTCGAAGACGGAAAAGGGTGTAAACATAAACTGTTGGATCTCCGCGCGGATTTCTTGGATCGGCGCTGGACCCCCTTGCCCGCCGCGCGGAACGCGCCAGGTGTGGCGCCGGAGGTGCGGCCAGCGGGGCCCAGCGCCGATCCAACAAATCTGCGCGGAGTTCCAAAAGTTTCTGTGTATACAATGTTTGGGTCCTCTACTGGTCAAGCCGCCCAGCCACACTTGTGGTATCGCGCCCTCCCTGTGCTCCTCTGCGCAAGGACCCGCCGCAGAAGCATCCGGGCCCCGACTTCATGGCTTCGACGAGGGGCGGGGGAAGTGTGGTGATGCATGCTGGTCTTTTGCCGAGCGTCTCTGTTTGCTCTCTGGAGCCAGCTGGGTGTCTGAAGTGGTCCAGCACCAGTTCTGGCGAGCACAGGGTCCGAGGGTCTCGGTTGGCCAAGTTTGTTTGCCTTCTTCTGCATCCGGGGGACGTTTTTCGGTCCCCCGGGGCCGTCAAATATGGATCAGGGGTGAAACATTTTACAAGATGGACCTTGGGGAGGGGTCTCAGGACCGACTTGAGCGGATCTGTGCCCATCCCCTCTCCTGCCCTGACCGATGTCTGAGGTCCCAACCATTTCAGAACCCTTGGCCGCCTTGCCTTCAAACCGAGTGTCTCTCTCTTTGCTCTGGCCTCCGTGCCCATCCTTTTGTGACTGCTGTAGAGCATCTGGACAGCTCTCAACCTGGTTCTGCATCTAGCGGACGAACAAACGCACGTTGTATTACTCTTTGGTCGGAAGATCATCGGTGGCGACAACGGCCAGAATTCCAGCAACACTTGAGCGACATGCAGCGATCCGATTTGGACAGGGATGAGGGGTTAATAGAAGTTGAGGCACGAAGATTGAGGTTGTGCGGGTTTATGTGATCTGCAGATGGGATGGGCCCAGGACTTTCTTCAAGTAACCCTGACGCCTCATAGAGGGATGATGGCCAGAACGCGTGCGAAACTGGCACTGAGGCAACCGCGGGGTGTCGTGGAATGGGTACTAGTGAGGAGGAGGAAGAGGAGGACGAGGATACGGAGGAACCTGAGCAGCAGCAGCAGCAGCAGGACGAAGAAGCGAAGGCATAGCATAGGGCGTGGGGGAAAGACGAGGAAAAGGTGCAAGATGATCGCGGAGGAGGAGAAGGAGCAGCAGGTGGAGGAATAGGGAGAAGTGGAGGAGAGGGAGGAGTCGTGAAGGCAATTCGACCTGCTTCTCCCCTGCACATCGGCCAAACCCGATCGCATCTGTTATACAGATTGTGCGGCTGTGTGCTTAGATCTCGCACCAGAGCCGACGCGAATTGGACTGGCGGTCTCAGGGGCTTGCCATGCCATGGTCGCACCAGCGCCAGGATCCAGCGATGCCGGCTCATCGCGCGGGATTGGTGGTCTGGCCAGTCCAGTGTGCTCTGCTGGTGCGCGGGATTTGCCGTCTTCTCGGGCCGGGCGAAAGGGGGGGATTGGGAAAGGGGGGGTTACGAAATCTGCTGCATGCAGCTGGTTTCGGCCCACCGAGGGGCCCATTCCTCGATACATGGGCGCCTCCCGGCGCCGGGAGGCGCCGGGAAAATCAGCTACGTGAGCTGATTCTCAAACCCCCCTTTTGCTATCCCCCCCTTTCGCCCGACCCGATCTTCGGGTGTTAGGTGGTTGCCACGGTTGCTCGCCGCACCAGTGTTCGCGCTGGCCCCTGGGGCTTGCAGCGTGCGGGGCCAGCGGGCCGGCCTCTGCTGCTCGCTCTGGGCTCTCCCCCTCGTCTCACCATAGTTCGGCAGGTGTCTGCAGGGCCGTCCGCGACACCGGCTTTTTCCTCCCACGATGACGGAGGTTTTCTCGCCTTTCCGCGCGCCTCAAGGGAGGCGAAAGGGGGGAATCGGCGCAGCGTGAAAGCATCGACCCTTCATCGCCCATTCATCGCCGGTTGGGGGCCCCAATCACAGGCTTGAGATCGTCCATTGTTGTATTCTGTGGTTCCCCACCCCACACTGGATCCCGCAGATCCGCTGCTGGGGGCTACGCATTACCGATCATTCAGCGGTGCATCCCCGATTCCAGGTCGATGCCCCCACCCCTGGGCCAGCACCCCCCTTTCGCCCCCTGCCCCCCCAGCAACGCTCTCCTGCAACGTAGGAGCCGGCAGAGCGCACTCGTAGCGAACCAGTCTTCAGAAGAGGAAGAGGTATTGGCGCCGCTGCCCACAGACATCAGGAGGGGAAAAAACACACAGACAATGAATTGTCGATTCCCAGGAAAATATGGGAAAATATGGGAAGTGGGGGGAAAGACAAAAACCAAGAACATACAGGAAAATATGGGGATTTGTTGTTTTGTGTATTAATTTGTGTGTCCCAGGGCCCCTTCAAGACATCTGGTGCTGCTATCTTCGCATCCGCGGCCCCATGGTCCTGGACGCCCTCCCCGAAGGCAGCCCCTCGACCCGTACCCAATCTTGGTGGCCCCCGTGCCCGACAGCGGCCCCAGGGGCCGAAACGAGAGACAGCCGCCAGGAATGAAAGCTCCTCCTCCTCCTTCTCCTCCTCCTGCTCCTCCTCCTGCTCCTCCTCCTCCTGCTCCTCCTCCTGCTCCTCCTCCTCCTCCTCCTCCTCCTCCTCCTCCTCCTCCTCCTCCTCCCGCCGCGCCTCGTAGGCCCCCTGGTCCCATAAAGGGCCCGTTTGGGGTCTCCACGGCTGGGTTCGCCTCGAAGTCCTGGCTTTCACGCGCCCCAGGAGAGGTCCGTGGAGCAGCGGTATCGGTATCCGATGGCCCCTCGAGCATTGGGCGTGCGATCATGGACCCTTTGTTGATCGACGGCGAGCAAGGGGGGGAAGCGAGAAGGAGAAGGCATTCTCAGAAGGCGGGGCTTCTCAGAAGCCCTCCGGCCTTCTAAGAGGTTTTCGATGTCTTCGAGGAAGGCTTAGAAAACTGCTCGGAAGGCCAGGGCATTTCCGAGCCCTCTGAGAAGGGCCGCCCCTTCCCACTTCTCCCCTGGGCGCGCCGCCTGGATGTCCCCTCGGGTACAGCGTGTCCGATCATGGGCCCCTTGTGGAGCGAAGCCACCCCGCTTTCGCGCAGTGGACCGCCGCAGGCTCCCAAAGACCACCGAAGACTGCTGGAGGCCGTGGTAATGGGCTTGTTCTCCACCGCCACCGCCATGAGTAAAAGGGGAAGGGGGTCCTCCTCCTCCTCCTCCTCCTCCTCCTTTCCTTCCTCCTCCTCCTCCTCCTCCTCCTCCTCCTCCTCCTCCTCCTCCTCCTCATCCTCCAACTCCTTCCCCCCTCCAACTTGTGGTGGTGGTGGTGGTGGTGGAAGACAGGCCCATTGCGTGATGAGGCGACCGCCGATGACCGTCGGAAGACCCCCGAAGGCACCGCGGGAGGCCCGCCGAGGACCGCCGAAGCCCGCCCGCAGGCCGCCGAGGACTGCCAGCGGACCGCCCCAGCAGACCACCGAAGAACGTCCGCAGGGACCACCGGAGAGCCGGCCGCCGAAGAGGCCGTCCAGCAGACCGCCGGGGACCGCCCAATGGGCTAGGAGGTGGATAGACCTCCTTCCCTGACACGTCGATCAAGGAATTGGCCGTTTTCGCTTCGCGACAGGGCGTCGCGGCTGTCATTTTTGCGGGCTCAGGTCCGTCGGTTTCGGTCCCAGGCCGTTTTCACTCAGGGGAGGCTTACTAAAGGGAGGTGTGTCCACCGCCGATGGGCGTCCATGTCGGGGCTCAAGAGACGGGGGTCAGTGCAAACGGGGGTCCAGAGCGTCGGATCCTGCAGGATCATGCAGGGCCAGGGCGCATTGGCCCGAGCTTGGGGTGCAGGATCTTGCAGGATCCTGCAGAATCCTTCGCATTGGCCCCGGTTTGGGTGCAGGATCTTGCCGGATCCTGCAGGATCCTGCAAGGCCTGACTGACCTGGGTTTGCGTTGACCCGTCCCCGACCATGGCCGAAGGCGTACGTTCAGGAACTCTTTGGCGCGGCGTGTCGCTTCTCCGGTGCTTGCCCACCACTCTTCGGTGCGGCACGCTATCCTCGAAGGACCAGAAACATGGCATGAGCATATATTTGTTGGGCGGTCCACGCGGAGTTCTGGAATCTGCGCTGGGACCCCCCTGGCGGCGCCTCTGGCGCCGCCCCGGGCGCGCTCCGCGCGCCAGGGAGGGGGCTCCCGCGCAGATCCAAGAAATCCTCGGGGACTGTCAAAAGATTACGTTTCTGCCGTTTTTCTGCTTCTCAACATCCGCGCCCCCATTCCGAAGCGTTGGCGTCCCGAGCTCTTCCCGGTCACACGGCCCCCTGGAGCGGAGCGAGACGCCAACCGCTCGCAGGGCATAGCGTGTCGCTTGGGCCGCCTTCGCGACGCGCTTCACAAAAGTTCTCGACCGCTCTGTTCGAATCGCGTAGCCAACACAGAAAGGTTGGGGAAATAATGTGCTGGGGTCCTTTGATATTCCTCCTCCCCCTGCTTCTTCGTCAGACCCCGAAGTCCTCTCAGAGTCGGTCCTCGGACTACTCTCGGAGTCTGCCCCAGCCTGTTCTTCGAGCTGTGCCCAGCCGTGGCGGCGAGAACATCCAGATATCTGTGTCCAGCCGTGCAGGCGAGGATTTCTAGATACGCAAACTTGGTGAACAAGCAATGACACAAACACGAAAACTCGGAGGTCCGCGCGCGTTTCTCGGATCGGCGCTGGACCCCCTCCCTGGCGCGCGGAGCGCGCCAGGTGCGGCGCCGGAGGCGCCGCCAGGGGGGCCCAGCGCCGATCCGAGAAATCCGCGCGGACCTCAGAGTTCTGGTGTTTATGCCATTGTTCGTCCCCCAAAACAGCCAGCCCCTTACGCACCCAACCCGTGCCCAGTGCAAGAAAGATTCCGACGGCAGCCGCGGGCATGCCTCTCGCAGGCCCGTGGGGGGTGCCCGAGGTTTGGCCACGCGTAGGGGCGGCCCTTCGCCGGAGTGGCCTTTGTCGGCGACCACAGTGGTCACGGTTACGCTCGGGAGGGGAAAACACAGACACAAATGAGCGTCGACGCCCAGCACAGTACAGGAAATCTGAGAAGTGGAGGGGAAGGCTAGAATCTAGAACATAAATAGGAAAGATGGGCACGGTTACGCTCGGGAGGAGAAACACACACACACACACAAATGAGCGCCGACGCCCAGGACAACATGGAACATTTGGGAAGTGGATGGGGAAGGCTAGAATCTAGAACATACATAGGAAAGATTGGGACTCCTAGGATTTGTGTGTATTTGTTTGTGTATCCCTGGGACACTTCATACGCCAGGGTGCGGTTTGCGATCGGCTCCGTTGGGGCCCGGCCTGGGGGGCACGACAATGTCCTCGTCGGGCCTCCTCGGGGCGCGGCGGAGAACTCTATCGAGGTCCCCGCCCGCCCCCAGGGTGACTGCCATGGTACCCGTTGCAGACCACACCCTCTGCAAGCCACACCCTTCGGAGTCGCCGACTTCGGGGCGGGCCCGCAGGGGTCAGATGTTCGTTCGGAGGACCTCCTTGAGAGCCACCTGGCGTGTCTGTTGGGCTCCGCTTCGAATCTGGCCCGACCCTGGCTCGACGCCAGGGCGACTCGGCGACTCCAACGGCAGAGGTGCGACTGTGGAGAGTCGGCAGGCTGCCCTGCCGCTCTCCCTAGTGAAAGGAAGACTCTGGCGCGGGCGAGAGGGGAGCAGAGGAAGAAGGAAGACATCACACACAACAAAAAACACAAACAACACACAACTCGACTGACCCCTGGCTCCAGCTCGACTCCAGGGCGACGCCGGTGCGACTCGGGTCGACCGACGCTCGACGCGGCATCGACGCAAGGAGTGGCCCTGCGCCAGAGTCACCTTCGGTGCTGGCCCGCAGGGGTCCCCGCGGCACTGGGGGCCAGGAGGAGGAGGAGGAGGAGGAGGAGGAGGAGGAGGAAAAGGAAAAGGAGGAGGAGGGGGAGGGGGAGGAGGGGGAGGAGGGGGAGGAGAGGGGGAGGAGGAAAAGGAGGAGGAG